ATCCCTAGGTGTTTCAGCAAGAGCAAAATTAAGGACACTGATGATTATGATGTCATGAATCTAATTATGTATCTAAGATTGTCATGTCAATTGATATCATGAAGTAGATTTGTTCCAGTTCTCATTTATCGAAAGGAAGCTACACAAAGTAATCCATATTCAAGCGCTGTCAGTACACCCTCTAGATCTTTTTCATGTGGTTAAATGAAATTTAGGCAAAGTTAGACTTGATCTGAGTAACAGCGAATAGTCTACGATAACCGCTGTTTCCATTTGTTGTCTGCCAGCTGGCCACCTATATACGTTGAACACACACTATCACAATCACACGCTATTCTGGTGATTGCACTAGCATTATCTTTGGTCATCAGCAGGGCCGAGCTGTTTGATCGGTAATTACCGCGATATCGATCAACGCTATTTATTGCTAATGGGTCAAATCGATCGCTTGCTATCCATGTGATCACGCTAGCTTGACCTTCAATTCGGCCAACAATCGTTTGCATTACGATATTCGCTATTGCTATCCTCTGGTAACCACACTCTAAACGCTAGATTTTTCTTTTTTCTTTCCTGTCCCCCCTCCCTATGGTAGGTATAAATAGGTAAATATTCCAATGACCAGACCATCAGTGTGACAGGTGCACGGTGAGTTGTGACAGGGTTGCCATGGTTACCACGATTTTATATATGTGCCAGGCCCCCCTCATCCCACCGAACAAGCACCTAACGTCAAGCTCATCTACTAGTGATGAGTTTAAATTCTAAACTAATTTTTATACATTTGGGATCAAAGGTCATGGATATATTGTTATTATTTAGCCACCTCGCTACAAGCTCTATGATTGGTCGAGGACTGTGCTGTACTGAAGTAATGGCACCAGCGCATGCTATCTGCATGCAGTCGTTGACTGAACACGAGAGAAGTCTTAGTAGAAGCGCAAGGAGGAGTGGACATTAGAATAACATTACAATGTTTTGGGTCGTACTTTCATTTCTGAACGCTTGAATGAATAATAGTTATTTTTTGCATAATTCCAGGTAATCCCTTTCCCATCAATGGTGTTTCCCAAATATTTCCCATCGAGATTGGAACGAAAACAAGAAGTATACCACCAAGCACCAGCGCGTAGTGTTGCACAATTTTTGTTCCAGAGATCAATATCTTGATCTTTGGTAGAAAAGAACATGTTATTGTGGTATTTTAGTGAGTCCCCAGCGTCACCCGAAAAAGAACCAACCTTCAGTCTGTACTTGTCTGATGCAGAACCAACACTAAAACTACCATATTTGGCAAAATACTTTACTGCACTCCAGTCCTCCAGGTCCACAAGTAGAGTCGACGGTGTTCTTGCTGTTAGTCGATGGATGTAGTCATTACCCAACCAGAACTCGCCAATCGGGTTTCCAAAACCTGCTTTGTACTGCTGCCATCCAAGATAAAAATCAACAGATCCATCTTGTCTTCTCTGGAACACTGTCCACCACCCTCCGTCAGTGGTCATGTCGCAGTAGACTTGAAAGGGTCCTTGACTGTCGGGTTTTACTGTGTACACACCGCTACGTCTTTCGCCTGATTTGTAGATATCTGCACAATCTCTGTAGACAATGTTTATTCGTGTTTTAGCTTCCGTGTCAGCAACTCCACCACTTGTAGCGGTACACACGTAGACACCAGAATCAGATTTGGCAACATTTTCAATAACGACAGATCCATCTTTCACTTCATGTCGTCCAGCTGGAAGATGGCCGTTTTCTTTCTTCCATTTTATCAGCGGTTCAGGAACACCTTTAGCAGAACAATTTAATACAGCATTGGTTCCAAAGTAGGCTTCTAAATCTACAGGTGGTTTGATCACAAATAATGGTATTGGTATTACAACTATCATTGTCCCTGCAACGGCTGATCCAAGTAGGTTTTCTGCTTTACACAAATATGTACCAGAATCATTTATGGCTGAGTTTGATATCGATAGCTTGCYGTCTTTGACAACGGTTCGTGTTTTTGATAACAAACCAACAGCTTTATACCACGTGACTTTAGGTTCGGGGTGCCCAGTCACGTGACACTTTGGAAGGGTTATATTATTCCCATGCTTGACACGCACAGGTCCTCTGTTTAGATTAACTCTAGGACTAAAGTTGACTTCAATTCTTGCTGTCTTCTTTACTTTACCAAGAATATTAGAAGCCTGGCATTGATATATACCTGACTCAAGAGGTGTAACCTTTTGTATCCCAATGTCAGTATTATTTATTATGAATGCATTCGTGGGCATCAAACCATTGACTCTAGACCATACAATGAATGGTCTTGGATATCCTTTAGCAGAACAATTCAGGATAGGAGACTTGCTTTCATTGACGATCAAATGAGGGGGAGAGACGACAACTGATGGATGTTCTAACGAAGGACCGCGGTCCCATTTCGGTCCCGGCATGCCTCGAGGACCGGCAACTCCATTTTTTCCTGGATCACCTTTCAGTCCCGGTATTCCTTGCTTGCCTGTTCTACCTGGTTTACCCATGGGTCCTGGTGGTCCTCTGGGTCCTCTTCTGCCTCTTCTCCCTCGTATAGCGATAAAGTTCTTTGCAGAGATAGCTTTAGTCATTTGCTGCTGCATTATTTTGGTCAGTTTTCCGATAAGACGGCTCTCACTCTTCGTGTCGTTAGTTGCTCCCTGCAATAGTGAGTCTTCCACGTCAACACTCCTTTGTATTCGTTTCTTTGTTCTTCCACAACATTCCTTAACGTCCAAAGCGAGTCGTTCGAGGCTATTTCCTTTGTTTGCAGCCATGTTGTCTACATTGACTGCTTGAAAGGTAATCTTGTTCTCCAACTGTTGTATTTTCGTGTTTTGTTGCTTCAGAATCATCTCGATACGTACAAACTCACCACAGCAAAGCAACAGAGCGATGATGGTGACTATCTTTGAAGCGGTTAACTTATCATTTTTAGTTTCCAAAGATACACTCGGTTAATAGGTCGCTATCAATAGACGTCACTTCCGGTAATAGCTCTTTTTTGAAGACTTGTAGAATCCTGGAGGTTGTATTGATCTCTTGTTTTCTGCCGGTTTGATGTCGTGAAAATAGTCAAATACAATAGTTCGAGGACCTATTTTGATATGTTTTGACTTAGCATCCGCTAGTTGCCCCCCAGTCAACCGCTTGTTTGCCCCCCAGTCAACTCCAAAAAGTCACGTGATTGATAGTAAGCAATTTACAGTATTCCTTTGAGATATCAAATGAACAACGACGCGCAGAACTTTAATAGACCAGGATTGTTTTGATCAAAGTTACGTACAAAGGTCGTCTCTAATCAATTCTAATAGATCTAGAATTTCAAGACCTCATATCGCATTAGGCAAGAAATCAAGAATCGATAGTTAGGTTAGAGATATTTTTCTTATATAGAACACAGGTAGCCCAATTTAAGATTTTACTCTTGAAATACTCTCGACCCCAAAGTCTTACAAACACCAAGGACAGACTCGTACCCAGTCGCTTCTCTTGCCTTATTGATCTCACGCTGTGGTTGATGGGAAGCATTTAGTGAGTTTCCTGTGCATCAGGGGAAGGAAAAAAAGCCACCGCGCGCAAAAGCCACCGCGCGCAAAAAAGCCTGAAACAAATGACGACTGGGTAATAATAATAATAAATAATGTTTTATTGAAGGCCAATTCCCAACGGTTCAACAGCACTTTACAAAATACAAAAAATATTCATTATAGATAAATAGAAAGTAAGATGATAATTAAAAGAATATAATAAAACAGTTTAACAATACTAATTTAAAAATAATTTAACAATATTTCAATACCATATATTAATGTATTAATAATGTTATATAAACAACTTTCAGTAACTTTTAATTAAAATCAAAATCAAAATTAAGATTAAGATTAAGATTAAGGGCATTTAAACATTATAGTCACATCATTGACAAAATAAAGATACTGGTTAAAATAAATTTATTTATTAAAAAGAAATTAATAAAAGGCCTGCTTAAAGAGCCATGTCTTTATGTCCCTTTTAAACTGTGAAATTGAGTGACAAGATCTAATGCTGTTTGGGAGGGCATTCCAAAGTTCAGGAGCCGCAAAAGAAAATGACCTTTTTCCATAAGATTTAAGATTGTACGATTGCTTAGTTAGAAGATTTAAGGAAGATGATCTTAAGCAGCGAGAAGGAGCATAAGGTTTAATCAAGTCAACAAGATATGCAGGTGCTAGATTATGCAAGACCTTAAATGTAAGTAAAAGAATCTTGAAAACTATGCGCTGTTCCACAGGTAGCCAGTGTAGATTGCACAAGATAGGAGTGATGTGATCTTGTTTTCGAGAAAAAGTTATTAGTCTTGCTGCAGCATTTTGGACATGCTGAAGCTTTTGTAGAGAGCCTTTGGGAAGTCCATATAATAATGCATTACAAAAAAGATTATGGATATGGAAGAAACAAGTTTTGCAGACAGTAAGTATATGGTCGTCAAGAGACAGCACTTCATCAAAAATAACTCCAATGTTACGAGCAGATGGTGATGGAGAAATGTCAGAGCCAGAAATGTTAATAAAATCAACAGGTGGTCGAGGACGGTGTGGATTAGCAAAAACAAGAATTTCAGTTTTGTCGTTATTTAATTTTAGTTTGTTAAAGGTCATCCATTTATCAATTTCTGATACACAGGTTTCAATTTGCTGTTTCGTATCTTCAAATTCCTTATTGGATGACATAGAAAAGGTAAGATACAGCTGTGTATCATCAGCATATAAATGGAAATTTGTATTATTATTCCTCATTATATCACCAATAGGTGAGGTATACAATAGAAACAGGATGGGGCCTAGGATAGATCTTTGTGGGACACCACATTGAAGAGGATGATCTGAAGATGTACAACCTTGGACCTTGACCTTGAGTCTGTCCTCAGTCTTTCTCGTAATGGCTAATACGACACCGGAAATCGAACACAGGTCGCATTCTTTACTTTCGAATGCCCCATAATGCGTTGCACCTTGCGGTAACCAATCAAAACACTGCCCCAAAATGAAATGTTCTTCAACTGAAAGTACACAATACCTTTTTTAATCTCTTATATCTTTCTGCATGTTTCTTATTGTTTCATTTTAGTATTTGGACATCAAACGATGTGCTTACTACTTAATCAGCCTTCAGCACAATAAGTGCGGTTTTTTCCTCTGGCTGCCCTTACACCCGCAAAGTATTATGGGTATGTGAAGGAAGAGTACTGGTCATGTAAGGCCTCTGTAGTCTAATGGATATGACGTCGGCCTCCTAAGCCGAAGGTTGCGGGTTCGAGTCCCGTCGGAGGTGATTCGTAGTTAATTTTTGTTTAATAAGCCAACAGACTATCCCATCATGCATTGTGTATCAAACAATGTCAGTGGAATTTTCATCTTATTTTTTTACGCCATCTGCTGAATCGTTAAGATTCTCGATAATCATCTAATATTAAAATACTTTAGCTTACATTTGGAATGTGTTCTATACGTTTCTACACATGATTAATTTATTTAATTTATTTAATCCCTTCTGGCCGACATGACGGAGTGGTCTACAAGATCCCGTGCATCGAGTGTTACAGCGTCTATTGTGGTGAAACTGGGAGATTAAGCAAGAAAGATTGGGAAAAAAACATTAGAGAGACATCCGCACAGATTGGTAGAACGTCGAGTGAATCGACAGAGACAACCACTAGTACACACGCAGAGTCAAAGAAGCCATCCATATTAGACTCCATCCCAACAACATCAATGAGAACAGCAGAATTGAGATTCCTGAAGCGTGGATAGCGACCATTCGAAAACACTCCGTCACGCCCATCTACTGCAGCCAATCACAGCCAAGAAGACAACCTTCAGACTACGCTATCGCCTGATCAAGAGGAGGGAGGCTATAGCAGTATTAGTCGAAACTGCTAAAATTAAGAGACAAATGAATAAAAATAATCTTTGAATGTAAATTCCATTGTGGTTTTGGATATCATGTAGACGTCAAAGAAGCTAAATTTGGAGAAAAAAAAATTTTCAATCTCCTGAGAACTGTTTTGTTCTCCAAATTGAGCTGTATTCAAATGTGCTGCAAGGGGTCTACAGATTACAGTTCGCTTTGGACACTCGAACCGTGAATACTTCACGTTTCCCCCCAGTTCATTATTTCCTGAACTTTCTACTGTTTCAAAACCTCTAAAATGAAGCAATGAGTTCAAATACACCGAGAGATCAAAATAAATCTTCTTTCCAATCGATTGCCTCAATGGATGATTTACAGCATATATATATGTTTAAAAAGGGACAAAAAACTTGAAGAGTCACGTTTCGAGTGTCCTCGCTGTAAGAAAAGATACTAAAAAGGCAATCGAAGCGAACGACAAGTTATATCTGGGGTAGCCTGGATTTCTTTAGGGGGTGGGGGTAGGGAGAGGGAATTCATGATACATCGTGCGCACTTGCTACTCCCTTTCTCCATCACCGCTCCGTTTTATGGTCATTTATCACGGTAATGTTTCCCATCATTAAGTAGTTGGCTTTCCACGTTTATTTCCACGATATTTATTTTCCTGCTCTCTGCTGGTAATAATCTATGAAGAAGACATTGTTCTATCTCAGATAACAATGGGCAATCTGTAAGAACTTACAATCACCAAGGATTTGCCTGTTCGTACTTTCTCATATAATAAAATCAGTACGATGAAAATTATTATTCTGACTGAAATTGTTTTGCTTCTGAAAAGCGTAATCATATTACGGGTAAATAAAAGTTTTTGAAATATTTAAAAATAAATCATTATTGTTAGTATCGTTTTCATCCTAAAATCTCTGGATTATTCAATTTTACTTCTTAATACAAAGTTTGTAGACAATGTAGGCGCCGATACCAACACCTGCAGCCAATAGACCAAGCTTCACAGCGATGGTTTCATCGTACGTCCCAGGGAAATTATTCACTTCATCTCTGCAGCAATCTTCACCATCAGTCATCTGTGTATCCTGGAAACCATCAACATCTTCACAAAACACAACCCTGTTAAAGATTTGTAAGCTGCCACTATGTAAGACAACATTATCTGTGTCACCTTGAAAGCATGACACATCATCGTTAACTACATCTGTACCGCTCGTAGAAGCTACATCAGCATTTGGAGCCATGTTTACTACACTGATGTCATCAGCGCCTTCCACAACGTTTGCAGACACTTCTTGAACAGAAGAGGGCGATGGAACTTCTCCTCCAACTACACTCTCGCTAACCTCAGCATCAACTTTTCCATGAAGAACTTGGCCCATCATGTCATCCTTGGTATCCATCACTTGATCCATAGCCTCGACCTTCATGGAAATCATCTCTGTTGATGACTTGGGCAGATGTTGTTGGGTCTCTACACTCTCTTCAATCTCATAACAGCTTGAATCACTCTCTGTGGTCGTCTCTGTCATGTAACCTGCATCATTACCTGAAACTCCATCGTCGTAGCTTTCATCTTGACTGTCTTCATCAGA